GTGTACCATGAAGTGCACAGTCTGTATGTCTGATAAGCAGGAGGGCTTTGTAGAAAAGTCCTCTTACCTGTTGTAAAGAGAAATAATTTCTTGGTTTGGGCTTTTTAGCATCACTTCTGCTAAGCAATGTGTGGTGAGTAAGGCTTTAGATTTTTCTGGCAGTTTTGAGGTGCTGAAAGACTGAAAACAGGCTCTGTCTCCTCCTACCTCCTCCTACTCTTCTTTTTTTTTTTTTTTTTTTTTTTTTATCATCTGACCTTATTATTAGAATAGTATCTGCATATCTTGCGGCTTCCCCTGTCATTCTGTAGTGAAGGCAAGGTGTGTGCAGGGAGATGGTACTTAGCTTGGCCTTAAGGCCAGCCTTTAAGCTGCATTTTTTTTAAAGCTGTATTTGTTTAAAGCCACAGTACCCATGAAGAAGCAGGTAGAGAGAAGTCTGTTGGACCCACATTTCTCACCCTTAGTGCTGAAGATTGGGAGTAACGCCTTTGCAAGGACTCAGAATTGCACTTGCATTGAGGGGGTTGGAGCCCACCACATGCTCCTCTGAGATGGACACTGTCAGGGTGCTTCGCAGGGGACATTCTTCCCCCCAACTCGACAGCTGAGCCAGAGCATCAGCAGCAACGGAACCTGTTTTGAGAGCCATCTTGAACTAGTGACCCTCATCATTATCACATTGGCTGGGGGGCTCACACAGAGCTAAATCATATCAGGCCAATCTTACAGGGATCAGGTTGACCAGTTTTATATTAAGCCACCACATATGTGCAGCACATGAGTGGCTGTTTAAAGAAAGCCTCTTACTTCCCCTCCCTCCCCCCCTTTTAAGGCTTATTCCTTTTGTCGCGTGTCATGGGGACTGGCAGCAGGTTCAGAAAGTCTGAGCTCTCCCAGCTCAAGGTCATTGGGATTGTTTAAATATAATCTCCTTTTCTGTACTTATACTTTCCTACAACTTGCTATTCTGTCTTTCTAAAATTAAACTATTGAGCAAAAGAGTAGATTGGACTTTCTATGCAGGCCCAGGAAGGGGGCAAGCTAGCAGCAGGCTGGACCCTTTGTAAGCATGCGTGTCTGCGTGAGATTGTGCTAGGGATGCGGAGCAAAGTTCATAGTGAAGAGCTGGGCCTGCCCTTCGCTGCTCAGTTGTGCCTTGTGTGAACTATTATAGCTTTTCATGGCAGGCCACACATTGAGTTGTAGAGCACAGACCTGCTTAAGGAAGTGAAACCAGTCAGCTTAGGGGTGATCAAGCCCTCCATAGTGATTGCGTCCTGCAAATGAATGAGATGAAGGAAAAAATGCCCTAACGCTTCTAAAAAGCTCAATAGTTTGGAACGTTTTGTAATTTTTTTAAAATTGTTTTCAAGGTTTTTCTCTGCAACCAGGAAGGCTTGAAAATTAAAAGTGAAAGCTGGGAATTCCTAGTTGCAGGGGTTTGATCTTTAAAAAAGAAAAGCACTAAACACCAGCAGACTTGCAAGAACAGGCAATCCTGGAGTTTAACTATCAAGCTGCCATAGGAGAGATGACAGCTAAGTTCTCTGTGCCAGTAAACATGTGGTTGTGCTCCCCTCTGGGAATGAGAGAAGGACCTGTGAGGCTCTGAGCACCACTGTGGAGGACCCAGGCCCACTCCCTGAATATTGCAACACCCCATCCCTGCCATCCTTGGGCATATGTACTGGTTGTGAGCTTGACAATTTTGTGCTTTTGAGTTGTGCCTTGGGAGCAGCGAGTGTGTGTGCTGTTACAAGCAGGAGCTGAGCTCGGATGCCATTCCACATACCTCTTACAGTAGGGAATGGGAATTCCCCAGTGAGGCCTTGTCTATACTAGCACAACCAGGACAGCTAATTTGGGGTAAGTTAAAATAGTCAATTCCACCTTATTGATACAAACTGAAGGACACACTCAGTGTGTATACTCAGTTTTTTCAGTCCAAAGACCTAATAGCCCCCTTTTTTATAGCCACTGAGGACTAACTGCACAGGTACAAGGCTCTTGTCAAAGGTGCAGTGTCATCTATGCTAGGTAACTGCTGTACTTCGCCCTCCTTGTGAAAGGACAGACAGAAGAGAACCTGACTGCAGGTGGCCGCTTGAGTGGGCACAGACCAGACTGATTTCCTCCTGTTTTTTTCTAGCCTCTGTGTTTTGGGGTTTTTTAAATTATTTTATTGGGATTTGCTTTACTGACTTTGCTGTGATCTCTAAACTGGGTAGGGAGAACCTTTTTCACTACCTGATGCCACACTTGCTTTTATGAAGCATTGTGGCTCATTAGCATTTCTGCCAGCCCAGATGTTGTTTGCTGCCAAGCCTTGATACCCCCCCCAGTGCCAGTGACTACCCTGAGTGTTAACACTGCAGATCAGTGGTGCTTGTCCACTCCGGATCCTGCCACAGAGCAGGCGTTGGAGAAACCAGATCCCCAGCTGTGCTGCGACCAGTCCCGTACCAGCTGGCCCTGCATTTCAGCTGCTTGTGCTGGCCATTTAAAGGCCGGGCTATGGAACTGGCTGTGGTGGAAAAACTTTGCTTTGCCGAGGAAATCTTAGTCTCTTCCACTTCACTGATTGACTTACTAATAGCTCTAATAAGTTACTGGTTACATTTGTGTCGTGCGAAGGATAGGGAAGTGAGGTGATACTGGGTAATGTGACTTGGTAGTTTATACCGGGATCTGGAATGACACTGCTGCTTAAAACAGTGGCTACGTAATCTGGGTTGTTTTCTTAGTGGGGAGTGGTGGGGGTGAGGAAATGTTTCAAGATAATTCAACAATGACATCGCCGCAATCCCACTTACTCTAAGACCGTGTAAAAGCATGAAACGGGATAAACGTTTTTGTAAGAGACATTGGCTTTCCCTTATGCTTAATGGGGAAACATTAGCTTCCCTGCTCCAGAGCACAGGGGCACCCATGTCGGTGTAGAAAACTTTCTTCCATATTACGCTAAAACTTGCTCCATGTTTGCCCCCAGTCACTGTCCCTTTTCGAGCTGCTTGTGTCGCTGCGAGGCTGACGTCCTGCATCGCAGAACCGCCCTTGTGATATCGCTGAACAAAGATGCTTCTGTGAGCTGCCTGTCTGCGTGCAGGGGAGAGGAATTCAGGGGGTGCTGGGGAAATAACTAACTATAAGAAAGACTTGGTTTAATTCTGTTGTTATCAGCCCTGTTCGGCTGGGGAGCTGTGTGAGCAAACCTGTACTGGCCTCATGCTGGAATATTTGAGTTGTGGAAACCCATTCCAATTTCAACTCAGATGATCTGAACCCCTGGGTTTTTTTGTGCTTTGGAGTGTAATATCAGGTTAGGAATCCCAGGAGAGCAGATTTTGCACTGCGTTTTTACTGGAGTCTTTGTGCTTCCTGCGTTTTACCCAAGTGGAAGTCATTCAGGAAGAAGTTTTTTGGGGCAGTCTTACTGCATCTTGGTGGTGCAGGTGTGCAGGAAAATGAATAGTAATACCCAGCGTTGGGTGGGATATCTGTGCTTTTGTTATTCTGCTAATATTGATTGTAGAAGAACAAGAAAATTTGCCCAAACTTCATTGAACTCTGGCTCTACTATGGACCTGCTTTGTGCTTACTGCTCATTGAAATTCTTGGCCTCTCCTTGAGTCAGCTGTGTTTTGTATTTCGTCCGGTTCAGGGCATGTGACAGAAGATGCAGGATGCATTTCTTAGACTTTTGCCCTTTCTTAATTTATTCTTTTTCTTTGCTCCATGCAACAGTTACTAAGAATGGAAACTGTGATTACTCTCTGTGTTACCACCTACAAAGCTCCAAAGGTTGGGGCTGTTTCTAGCACTGTCACAGTTAAAATCAGAAGTCATGCATCAGATCTCAAAGGCATGAGTCTGGATTAAGAAAGATGTGATTGTTAAAGGACATTCAACAACATTCAAATCTGATTTATAGTCAGAAGTGGGGTTTAAGAATCTAGAGGATTTCAAGCTTTTTGTTTCTCCAAACAGTGAGACACACTTTTGAGTTTCCCCTTCAAATAAAAGTTGAAACCCTTTTATGTAGTTTGATTCCAGGAGTTGAAACTTCAGGAAAGAGACCAAATATTGTGAAATTTGTGATCTCATTGTGAGAGCAGGCAGCAGTGAGGTTTGTTTAGGCAAAACTTTCAGGGAAATTCCTGGGTATCTGGGCTAAATATCCTGGTTTTGTTTATTAACCACAATTGCTGCAAACTTACACTGGAAACATTTGAATGGGGGAGGAGAGAGGCGACACAGCTCAATTCTGTGTCAGGAAATACCAGATCATTTCATGCTTTCCAGTCTCTTGTATCTTTTGTGTCTGCCTGATGTAAACCTTTAGGGGTTTTGGTGTATTAAGGTGTAGAAGGAGTTCTGCACAAATTTCTTTCCAAGCAAGAAACAGGTAAGACTGGTTCACTAATGAAGGAAAAATTGCTTGAGGAGGAGGTCGCTATCACTTTGTCAAAACATTTATTTTTGTTTAACAAAAGTAGTAATCCTCCTCACTGTTTTTACTTTTCACTTCCTTACTGAAAAGCCAAACATCTTTATCTGACATTTTTTCAGGTTTTAGGCTTGTTTTGTTTCTGACTGCTATTTTTAATGAAAAAGTTAAGCTTTCATTAGTAGCTTTTCAAAAATACTGAGTGAAAACTTTCCACAAGGGTAGAAGAATATTTCAATCACCTCTAATCCTAACTTAAATACCAGAGAATGACCATAACATCCTAATGATACAGAGCACTTGAGCATATGCCTGGTCTCTCATGATGGAGGGAGGAGAGAGAGCAGCTGTTGAGCACTGCTGAGATCTGCTGTATGGTCATTACTGACCCAGTGATCCTTAAGAGAGATGCACTACCAAAATGAGTAAATCGTGAGTCAGACCAGACAGTGAGACAGTGGCACTATTTAAAGTACATCAGAATAACAAGTGACGGTCTTATTTATATATGTATATTTAAAAAAAAATGTATCCTCTTGTTTTTCTGCAGAGAATACCAGAGGAACTAACCTTAGATGCCTTACTAGAAATGAATGAGTCAAAGGTGAAAGAAACAATGAAGAGATGTGGTGCCAGAGATGAGGAGTGCTCCAGACTCAATGGGGCACTGAGCTGCTTACGGAAGGTGACTGAATCAGGTACAGACTGCCTTGTTGTTCTATGGAATTCATTTCTCAGCAATCCGGCCCCCATTCTGCCTCCTTTCATATGAGACAATCTGCAAAAACCTCTAGAGAATGTCTTTGGGTATATTCTATAACCAATATCAGGTTATGGCTCTTGGATGTACATGAAGTTGCAGCGATCAAATGCATCTAGAGCTGTGGATTGGATTTGGTTTTGACAGCATGTGAAATAAATAAATAAATGGAAATAAATGTATGTAGAAATATCCTCTCCTTCTCAACAGACTATATCCTTATTCCCTCTCTGTTCAGAGTTGTGTCTAATGCTCCATTTAATCCTCCATCATTCAGTACACATATCTTTGACCTAACAAGGATACAACCAGATTTCTTGTAGGTAATCCCCTCCCCAAATATTGCTAGCTCAGAGAGAAGGTGTAATTCTCTTTGGCATTACTTTGCTCAGAAGCCTGAGTATTGTGTTCAGCTCAATGCTTTGGAAGTGAAGAACATTGCTCTGACAACCTTTTATCACTGCGTAGCTTGTAGCGTGCCAATTGATTCACTTCTCTCTAAAACCGCTTGCCTCCTGCTATCTTTCTTTGACTGCTAGAATTGATAGAATCATTAGCCAAATTCCAATAGCAGATTCAACAGCTAGAAAGAACCCTGATTTACCTTGAAATTATGGAAAGAAAGGAACTGTGTAATTAGAAATGCATGTGTTCAGCATGCAAACGGATCTGACCAAGTTATTTAAGATCAGTCAAACTCAAGATTCTCAGAGCGCTGTTTCACCATCTTCCCCTGTCACCTTCCCCAGGCTACTTTCAAAGGCATTGTAAAATCTGTTTGTACGGGAGCGTTTCTCACAGCATACGGGTACTAACGTGCATCAGAGCTTTCTTTGTAGCAATTATCAACCTGCCACTGAAAGGTGATGTTTCCTGTTGGTATTATGACAGTTCATACCATTCACAAATCATAAAGATTAGTTAATGGAAAAGTCAGCAAACAGCTCAGTTTCATATTTCCTTTTTTCTAATCTTTCTTGTCCTGGGCTGCCAAATATTTCCCATCCATACTGTGGCAAAACCAGCCATTGTTCAGAAGTCATGGCGTTCACTTATTATAAAGAAATGACATTTTTAAAAATCTAGGTATATCGTCTCTTTTCAACCACTGACTGGTCAATAGGACATCAGGGCCTGAAGCTTTGACTTTTCACCTTGATTTAAGTCATTAAGGACATACTTAAAGTTAAGACAGAGAGTTATCCTGATGAATTAAGCCTCTGAAATTATCCCAATAATGTGTGCCTTCCTGCTTTGCTGCCTGCAGGCCTTTGCACTTTTTTTTCCCATTTATACCTAGAATTGGCCTACAGGCTGTACTGGATCATTCTGAACTACAGTACTAGGCATTGTAGAAGGCAGTGCTGGGCTCCACCAGCGATCCAGCAGGATGTGGTGGTTCCGTTTTGTCCAGCTCTCTGTCCCTAGTGCAGCTCTAGCTGATATAGTCTGAACAAACACAGCAACTCTGTGCTGAGTGCTGCTGGTGCCTGTAATTGAACAGCAGTGCTCCAGTACTCCAGGCGTCAGGTGAGTTCTAGGCACTGGTTACATGCCAGAGAGAGAAAAAAGAGGCCAAATGAGTATCAGGAGCTTCTAGATACCCCTTGTTTCCAATCTAATGGCCTTTCTCAATTTAAGTGGTATTTAGCACTTGAGTGCTAAACCTGAGTTTAGCTTTTGAGATACGTAGCTACAGATAGGAAAGAAGGGTAGTTACTGCTGTTCTCATTTTAAAGGTTACTTTAGCTGATGTCTTAGATGGGTGTCAGGGGTGGAGAAACTAGGCTTGCATCTTGGCTAGGTGCGAAGCAGGGGAAAAAAAAACACCTTATAGCCTAAAGCAGCATGATGTGGTATGTGTATATACATTGGCTTTTCTTTTTAATCAATCACTAACATTGCTACGGTTGGTGAACAGGTGGGGAGTTAAAAGATGACGTGCTGATGAATCTTTCTGAGGCACGCCGAGAGAACAGCCCTACAAACACGACCGAATCCCCCTGCTCCTCTGCACCCACATGGACTCCCTCTGCACTGCACCTTCCCAAAGGCAACAGCCAGCAGGCACGTTCTGTGTCAGTATCTACAATCCCATCTTCAGATTCTCTTGCCTCGAGTCATGGACCTTCTATCTATGCAGAAAACCTCCTGGACCCTTTTGCATTCCCCGCACACAGTGGAAGGTTAACGCCAAGGACTCCTCACAGCATCACCATCACTCCACCAACCACTCCTCAAGCCAAGAGACGGCATAAGTTGAAGCCACCACGGACTCCTCCTCCCCCTTGCCGGAAGGTTTTTCAGCTGCTACCCAACTTTCCAACCCTCACAAGGAGCAAGTCTCACGAATCACAGTTGGGAAACAGGATAGATGAAGTTCCTCCAATAAAGTAAGCATGACACTTCTTCCCACCCCACGGGCACTGGTGGGCTGTGTTCATACCAAAGGGCATTCAGTGCTCCAGTTCTGACTCTGTGAAAGAGCTGGTGTCCAGTTGCCTCGTCATGGTTTCACTGTAGTCTGAGAATCTCTATCGGTGGGATATTCTAAGATAACCACAAAACCTGCTTGTTAATAGTGTACTTTACTTGAAATGTGTTTGAATTTATTTGAAATTGCACCTGCTGGGGAGGTTGCGATGGCTGCTGCTACTAAAGGGCCCCAACCGGTTTTTCTCAAACATCTAGCAACCAGTTCCATGTACTAGAATTCTCTTCTGTCCTTAAATGTTCCTCACAGTTCAGGTGGCTGGTATCCTTTTATGTTTTTATCTTAAGATGTGTTTTAGCTGCTAGTGTGAGCTTTAAAAAACATTTATTACAGTATAGACAACTTATAGCTCCATGACAAGACAAATGGTCTTAGGCTACACCTTTTTTTGGAGTGATCCAGGCTTTGAGATACACTTTTTTTGTGTAGGTAGGATGGAAGGTATTAATCTAACATTTAACTAATAGTTGAAACTGGGAAAGAAATGTGCCTTCCAAAGACTCTGGCTATCCCTAAATATCGCAGAGACTTAGGTCAGTATCCAAATTCTGTAGCAGGCACTGGATCATTACAACTTACCCTAACTCTTTGACCACCTGGAAGAGTTCAAAGAGCCTGTTCTACTCGGGACCTTTTTGCCCAAATTACATTTTTATATAAGGGAGACTAGCCCAGCTCAAAATGGAGTTGAGATTTTGGGTGTGAGCATTAACAGCAAAGGGCTGTGCTTTTGGTGCTGCAGTATTGTATTGCCTGCTGATTGATATGAAAGAGTTCATTATAAGAGCGTAGCCTTGTAAGCAGTACGGTATTCTTCCACACTGTGAGTGCATATGAAGTATATACTAAAACCTGCAAATTGCTAAACGTCTAAATGCAGCAATTCAGCATCTGTGGCCAATGCACAGCTTTGTTTTGAAATTCAGTGGTAAGAACCTGGTTCTGCTGTGATCCAGGTCCTATTGATTAAGTCTTATAGGAATTGCAAAATGTAGCACTTCTGTGATTCAGGCACTTCCATGGAGCCTGCCAGCTGACTGAGTTGCGCAGCCCCATTAACACTTCTCATCTGCAAGCCAAAATTCAGGTGCACTCTTGTACACTTCACTCACAGACTGGAGCTGGAGCTCTACCCAGCAAAGACTACCATTTGTAGGGAGGAAAATATTGCAGCAACTTCAGGAGCCTGTGCAAAACCAGAAATGTTTGTAAACCTGACATCAAATGCTGCAGGAAAGAGTTTCTGCTCTAGCAAAGTGTGTATCCTGTCACATGAACACGAATGTCTAAAAAAAATTTTTTTTTTTTCTCTCTAGGTTCGGTAAGAGATTTTTACAGGGCTGTCTTCATTTCATTGCTGAGAGAGAAGAACCCGTCCTTGTCAACTATCTGTTGATCATCCCTGTGCAACCTCTGGAGGTCCTCAATAGGGCCTTCTATCCCAGAGTTTCTGTTAACTTTAACAGGAGCTTGGCCTACTTGGCCTATTGGAGAACTGCAGGATGTTTACATTGCCTTTTTTGTACCTGGTATTTCTTCAGATGACAAAAGCAAGGGAAAGGAATACTGATGTTTAAAGGGTTAAAGCAAGGGGTTTGGGTGTAATTGCTTGTCTGTGACTTCAGACAGCTGTTATTGATGCCTCTTGGGTACTAGGAATAACTTCATATCTAACCATTTAGTATCTTTGGATATTCATTGCCAAGTATCTCTGTAATGAAATTAGACATTTGCGTGCAACCTTTTGAGAAACGCTTCAGCATGTGCTTAAATGTGGAATGCTTCCTCTGATGTTGATGAGTCTATTCATGTGTTTAATGGCTTACAGGGCTAGGACCTGTGTTTTTATCCAGTGACATATCAATGCCAGTTAGTGTTTTAGCTATCCTGATGTGACTCTGTGTGTCTCTCAGACACAACCTGTAACCTTGGAAGCTAATGTAGAGAGAGATGGGCATCTTGGAAAGTGTCTCACCTTTTTATAAAGTATAAAAGTCCAAATAAGGACATTATAGCATGACACATATATCTATGCCCTTTAAAACAAAAATCCCAGGAATTACTTTCAGAAATGAAAAAACAGAAAAACTGTAAAATGAAAATGCAAGCAGAAATCTGAGCATTTCTCTGTGGAGAGTGATAGAATTTATGCAATAAATAAAAAAGGCATTAGAATAAATTCAAACAGAAATGAAGAATTTTGGTGTTTCTATGCATATAGTCTTATTGTCTGTTTTAAAATCTATACTGCAGGCTCTTTTAAGTCCCATTCAATTCCAAACTTTTTTATATTTGTTAGGACTCTTCAGTAAGGATTTAGCCATCCTAACTGATGTTAACAGCCATCTTAACTGTTGTATTATGATTAGTTCAGATGGCTGTGTATTTGGATGGCCGCACTAGATCAGCAATATTCCTTGGAAAAGCAACTAATTATTCTAGCCTATTCTAAGATGCTGAAGACCACAGATGCCTTTAAACATTCACTGGAATAATGATTAAAAATAATGTGGTGCCATCTAGGGTCAAATAAAGAGACTGGCTTTCTGTAAGCATTGACAGTGTCCAGCCTTGAAGCTGTGTTGATACTTGCAGATTTGAGTTTTCTCCAGATATGCAATATGGCTATAGATTTAATTCAGGAAATATGCCAGAATCTTAGTATTTGAGAGTTTTTAGGAAGTTATGTGGTACTGGAGTGCTGGACTGGCATTTTGAAGTCTAGGTCTCCCTTTCTGCATTTAACAGCTAGCTAAGTGATCTCACTAAATCTTTTTATTCTTCTGGGTCACACTGGCCCTATTTATAAAATGGAGAGAATAATTCTCAGTGTAAAAGAATATTCTGGAGTCTACTGACACTGCATGAAAACTGTGTGATGGTATTCATGGTAAACCAGTTGGAAGTAAACCAGCTGGGAGTAAAGTCTGACTTTCCACTTTGTTTTAAGAATGGCCTAGACCTAATCAGATGGACTTCTGTAATCCCTAAACATAAAACATAGTGATTTAACAAAAAGAAGGAAGAATTATGATTCCACCACCAAATCTTATCTTACATTGCCTCCATGTGAAAACAAATAAAAGAGTAGTATCTGGTAATAGCTTTAAAGCAGAAGGCAAACCAATCTCAGCTATGCTACTAAGTGCAATGGCTACTAGTCCTTATCTATGACAGGGATCGCTTTTTTCTGTCTAGACTGATAAGCACCTTGTGAGTAATGCTTCCCTAAAACATCCTTTTGTTCTCCATCAGAACTCTCCCAAGGATCCCCTCAAACGGTACGAAGAGACTTTGGTTTAGCTGTAACACACAGGTAAGGAACGCAGGCTGTGGGAGCTACAAAGGAGACAAACTGAGGGGTCAGACCAGGACAGCATCCTATTTAGTGCATTTGTAGCAGTCACAGCTCTAAGATAGGTTTGAAGTTGAGTCGGGTGCCTCATTTGCCAAGTTCAACCTTAACTCTGTATTTTAGCATCATATATGCTCTTGAAATCCTTTTTACAAAGCCAATTGACTTGTGATTCCGTAATGACTAGCGTACCAGCAGTAGCAATGTTGTGTATGGGGTGAAAGGACCAAGCGTACCAAATGTGTAACAACGCCTTTTTTTAAAACACTTCCACTGCTACAAATGAAAGGGAAGCTGCTCCTTCCTCTCTACGTGGAAAGAGCATATATTTCCCTTTTCCTCCCTTGTAGCTTCCTGCATCCCTCCTTCCCAAATCCAAACCAAAACTGGGCCAGCCAGTTCTAATGCCAAACAAACCTATGCATTTAATTTTCTGGTAAAAGGGATAACACTCCCATCACTACCCACCCACCATAAATTGGGTCCCAGTTCTACAGAGATGTTCAGGTGAATGTAACCACCACCACTTCTTATTATCTGCTGACATAAGAAGGGACACCAGTGACTGATGGCAGCACGTGCTCATGGGCTGGATCTGCACTTGGAGTGTGTGCTGGCTCCTCCCTCTCAGAGTACTTGCTTGTTTCATGAGGTGAAGCTCAATTCCAGTTTGAGGGTTTTTTATGAAAAGATGTGATATTCTGTCAGTTTGTTATCTTTGACTGCATGAGACTTCAGATCTCATTGCAGCTTTGAGGACCTTCTAGAGATGTGTGTACATGCACACCCTGTCTTCTTGTCAGAGACACCTCTGAGCACTTCTCAGCTATGTTCCAAGAGTGGAGAACTAGCAAGAGGCCAGCAGAGTTGGTGCCAGCCTTCTTTCAGTTGCCTTTGATCAGAAAAGTGAGAAGTCTTTTCACAACACCACTTGCCCTTTTCAGAAAGGGCTAAAGGAGTATAGCCTGTCTGTAACTACCTACAAATGTTAATCTTCCTTTAGACACCAGTTAACATAACTTTTCCCCTCTTGTCTCCACTTAGGTTCTCTACAAAGTCTTGGTTATCTCAGATTTGCCAAGTCTGTCAGAAAAGCATGATGTTCGGGGTGAAGTGTAAGTACTGCAGGTGAGCACACAGTAATGATCTTTTTCAGAAGAACTTTGCATTTGATTCATTCAAGTTTGCCGGTGACAAGTATCTCTTTACGCGATGCACTCAACAGTGGCATCATTTTTTCAGTCAGCTTCTGAACTGGCAAAGGGATGCTTCGGCACAACTTATACTTAGGTTGGCAGCCTGACACATAGATGAACCAAATTTATTTCCCTGCCACAGGCTTCCTACCTGGTCATGGGCAAATCTTGTACTGGAAGCTGGATACCTAAATAAGAGTGAGGATTGTAGTTTTTGCTTCTCTATCTGGGTTGTTAGTCCAGAGTGCTGAGATTTTAGTGCTTCACTGTCACAGGATGAGAGTCAGTGAAGGTAACTATATTAAAAATAAATCAGATGCTAAGATATGTATATGGCTTTCATTAGCCTAATGACACAGATAGTAGGATTCTTCATATGAATGCATGCTGCTTAGGGGCCTGGAGCATTCCAGAAGTCCCTCTGAGATTAGCATAAGAATTACAAATTAAGGGCAGGCTTCCTCTTTTTGGGAAAGAACAAGTTGCTATTTAACATGTAATATTTCTCTTTCAGATTAAAATGTCACAACAAATGTACTAAAGAGGCACCTGCTTGTAGAATATCCTTCCTTCCCAGTAAGTAATTTTCTACAAGTTCTTAGCATTTCAATGTAATTGATGGTATCACAAGAATAAAAAGTCTGATTAAAGCTTTTTTCCTCCCTTCTCCAACCTGTTTTTCAGTAACAAAAATAAGAAGAACAGAGTCTGTCCCTTCTGATATCAATAATCCAGTAGACAGACCAACAGAACCACAATTTGGAACTCTTCCCAAAGCACTAACTAAAAAGGTACATGGTGACTGAAGTGAGTCTTGTGTCTGTAAGTCACTGAGGAGCTACAATAAGGAGAGGTGGCAGCAGTACCTTGCTGGTTGGAGCAAGAACGGCACCCTGAGCTTTCGCTTTGCAAGGAGACTTTGATATGTGACATTTTCTCCTTGTAAAACATAGGTTGTGCACAGCTCCAGCTGCCTACTCACTTAGAAAAACTATGCTATGATCGAGGCTAGGGACAGCTTTCTTTCTCTGTTGTTCAGTAAACAATGAGGGGAATTCTTTCCTTCTTTTCGTTGTTTTCTCACAAGTGACTTTCCTTGCTTTGCAGGAGCATCCACCAGCAATAAATCATCTGGACTCTAGCAGTAATCCTTCTTCAACAACCTCATCCACACCATCTTCTCCAGCACCTTTCCAGTCTTCCAACCCTCCCAGTGCAACACCTCCCCCAAACCCATCTCCTATGGGCCAGAGGGACGGACGATTTAACTTCCCAGGTAAACTTATCTTTTTCAGGAGACCTCTGCCAAGATCAGAAAGGTCTCTACGCAAGCAGAGGCTGACCAAGACTTCATAGGTATTTGCAGGTTTCTGAATACATGGTTGTGTCTTAAGCAAGGTGTGAAGGTGTATCTTGTTACCTGATAAAAGAAAATTGTCTGTTCTTAAAAGCTTTTAAGTGGTATCAACAAGATACCTGTGCAGGAGACAGATTATTAAGGAGTGCTGGCACCTTTTTTAAATTATTTGATCTTTCTATTGTCTCCTTTTTTGAAAAGGACTGAAAAAAAAATTATATTCTTTATCCTCTCTTTTCTCATTGTATTGTAAAATGCATGCTGCCTGCTGTGTTTGGTCACCAGTGGCTTTAAATCATGAGTAAGTTGATTGCTAGAGCAAAACATGAAAATGAGAACTGGGATGAATTGCTTTACCAGTCCCTTCCAAAAGATAACCAACAATCAACACTCATTTTTAAACCATTGACATACACGTATGGTGGAGAAGAATTTACGCTACATACTTTACTGATTAAGGACCCGAATGTGCAGTCGTTACTAAAGTCGATAGAGGCAAGGATCTCTGACAAGGGCAAAGATTTACATAGTGAGAATAAATCTAATTCCTTTGATCTGGAAATGAAGTCACATGCTGCTCACTAGCTGCTACATCTAGCCTTCAACATTGCTGTATTTTTCATCAAGCTTTTGATCTGTGAGTGCAAGTTGCTATTTTAGCCTACTCAAAAGGAGCAGAAGCAGAGCCAGTTTAGTACAGGGATTCTACTGCAACTACTTTGTATTAGGACATACTGCTCAAATTCACTGAAATAAAAAAAAATGCTTGCAGATGACTCATGAGCGTCAGCTTCTCTGGGTGCATCTCTGAAAAGCTGAAGACATGAGAGAGCATTGAAGCACCAGCTTTTACTTGGGCCTGCTTTTTAGCATTCCTGGGTTCTCTAAATTTGCTTCTGCCACTTGAAGTCTGAATGTGTTGTTTTCCCACCAGACTGTTTGCTTATCGGTTACATAGCTTTCATTTGATAAGTATCATCCATCATAGTCTTCCAAAAATGCATGTGCTGAAATTCACCCCTCAAGCAGGCTGATAATCTACTAATCTGTTTCCCAACAGTGAGTTGGGACTAATTCATTGAATGCATATGGGCACTTACTGATGATCCTCTAACTTGTTTGTGTTTTTTTTTTTTTCTCCTGGTAATTTTTTTTGCTGTCCTTTTTTTAAACAATTAAAAAACCAAAAAGCTGCCTACTACATTCAGCATAGACAACAATTTATCTTCCCAGGTGAGTTGATTGTTTTAATTCTACTAACCAGCTTCTGCTGCCAAAAAGTAACTTGTTTGTAAACTTCTGCATGCTGCCCAAGAACAATAATTCTGCTTTAAAAAAAAAAAAAAGTATCTGAAACAATTGAAACTTTCTCTTATCTTGGTATATAATTCAGGCCTCTGTCTCCTAATATGAGATAGTGATGTGATTTCTTACTAAGGTGAAACTTTGAATATTCAGTTGTAAAACAGCAGCTTTATGCTGTGGGGTTCTATACAAGCCATGTTCTTTCTTTAAAAAGGCTTGCTTTTAGGGTTATATACTTAGCTAGTATAAATGGACACTGTCAGTTCAGGAATGCTGAGCTCACCTTTATGAACTGAGGCTTTTGCCTATGGGATTTAAGAATGATGCAACACTATTCATATGTGGATTTGCATATACAAACTTTTCTCAGTCAGCTGTTCGTGAGCCCTTAGAAACAGCTTGTTTTTTTCCAAAGTGAGAATTGATGATGTAGGATGCCAGGTACAGAGTATTTATTCTGAATTTTGAAAGGATTTGCAAGCCAAGCTGAATTTCCTGTGCACTGGTAACACTGGACAGACTAGGTGCAGATGGAATACATGACCTGCAGTATAGATGAATTCAAACATCCTAGTTCTGTGAAGACTTAAGTATTTGTGATTGTCCAAGGCAACTTGAAGCCGTGTGAGCGGTTAACCTTGAAAGACATTACAGATAAGTAGGTGAATGGGAAGAACGCTGGGCTTGGTCAATATACAGGCATGTAAGTACTAGGAAAGATGAGCATAGTTTTAAAAGAATAGAAGTATAAAATCATATTGTCTGTGGTTGAGTTTACTTTATAATTCCTGAATAAGAAGCAAATTATCACTATTGCAATGTTGAAACTTCCAATCTATAAGAGATTAAAGTGTAAAATATGTATCATAAATGTTTCTACTTTCCCAGAAATTCCCAGTCCCGCACAAATAGCACAGCCTCCAGAAACAGCTGCAGACACTAAGTAAGTATAGTTTTAAATTCTTTTATTTGCATAGTGTTTACCTGATAATCTTCAGATCAGTCTGAAAGCGCTATGTTATGACCAAAACTGATCTTATGTGAGAACTCACAGGATAATTTTAGTCAGCAAGGGTGATACTGGCATTCCCATTCAGTTTTATAAAGCTGAATATGATATTTACTTTAAATCAGACAGTAAGAAGCCCACACCTTTAATATCTAGTTACGGTTACATGTGCATTCCCAAAATCAGAAAGGTCCGATGAAATAGAAGTTACAGAGTTTTATGATTAAAAGAGCATGACACATTTAGCTGCAAGCAAACATCTTTTAAGGATCCGAGTTGTAGGGCATGCAAAAGATTTTAGCCTGCATTGCCAGGACTCACAATTGCTTCGCCATTGTAGGTGTTTCAGTAATAGGAATAGGAGTGTCCATTACTGGAACACATTGTAATAATGCAGCCATGCCACTGCCAAATCAATTCCTGCCACTTAATAATTGAAAATCACTTCGAAGTCTTTGTCCCTTATTTGCTAAAGTAACCTTAGAAAGTTAAGTGGAGCAGTAATTGTATTTTTCTCTGACCTACTATAATGCTATCAAGATCTGTTCTCTATTTGCTTCTTTCCACTCCACTAATGGCATATGTAGCAGCCCACTTTTCTGACTCAGGTGGATATGCAAACATTATTTTCACTGTAAACTTGTCTTCTCTTGTTAGTGCTCATGAACAGCCAGACACAGATGGAGTTGAATGTGAAGCAGAGGTAGGTTTTCTGGTTTGCCCTTTTGTACAATCAGAAATGCCATAGTTGAAAGTGCAATAAAAAAGTTGTGGCCCTGGAATTACGAGCGTGGGCTAGCTGTGCCTTACCTCAGTTCCACTGAACTGTTTGTACTGCAAAGATCTCAGCTGAAAATTCATGGTTTCTGTAGCTAGGCTGAAACATTTAAGAACTTGTAACAATACTTAACTTTTTCTAATGGGGCTAAGATGATATTTTTCAAACTTCTGGCTCACTCAGTTTGGCGCAGCCGTTTTTACCTTACAAGAGCTGCAGGCCTGTTGCTGGAGTTACAAAGTCTAAATGCTCTGCAGACCTCAAATCTGCAAGTAATGCATGTGTAGGTGCTACCCGTGGTCACATAAGCCCATGCTTACAGGCTTTGCTTTGTAGGATCTACCATGAGCTAATGTTTTGCATAGGAAAGCCTTTCCATACCTATTCACAAGATTCTGATTTTGGTAGTGCCTAAGCACATGTTCAGCTTGTAGTATGAACACTGAAATGGTTTTCTGTAGGGATGAGTAAACCTACAGAGATAGAATCGATGATTTCAGCAGAAATTACTGGAATTTGGATCAAGCTTGCTGATTTTTGGAGCATTTCTCCCTAACAGGAGAATTTTAGTAATCGCAAAAAAAAACCCAAAACCCACCCACATTTATTTGAAGAACAAAGAGGTTCTTGACCCTTCCTTTTTCGAGTGGTCTTGTAGTATTTTTCCCCACACTGAAGGCCAAATCCTGAGGGATGCTGAGTCCCTAGATGTTAGTGCTGGTTTTACAAATTTAACTCTGTATGGGATAAAGCTTTTCTTTCTTCACCTGCGTGCATTGACGTACACAAGATGTATCTTTTTGTAGCCTTCTGAGATGACTTTGTCCTGTGAGGTATATTTCTAGAGCTGTAGTCAAATGTGTACATCCAACCCCCTGAAGTTCTTTCAGAGCAGCCTTTGCTGCTGGCTGGTAGGCTGCTTCTGCCCCTCAGACGGGACTCTCAGCATATGTTTCCCTTCTCTTTTTGTAAACAGGTGGAAGAATCAGAGACTAATAAATCAGAACCTGAAGATGATGAGGATGAGGTGGAAGATTTGCCAAACAGACGGCCACACTTGCAAGGGATGATTTATCGCAAACCTAGCCAGACCAGCGTCTACCTGCAAGAATGGGACATTCCCTTTGAACAGATTGAACTGGGGGATCCTATTGGCCAAGGACGTTGGGGGAAGGTTTACAAGGGAAAATGGCATGGGGAAGTGGCCATCAGGCTGTTGGAGATAGATGGGAACAATCAGGATCATCTCAAGCTCTTTAAAAAGGAAGTGATGAACTATAGGCAGACCCGGCATGAGAACGTGGTACTTTTCATGGGAGCATGCATGAACCCTCCTCATTTAGCAATCATTACCAGGTAAGGATATAGCATCTTAATATTATTTTTAATATAGATGCTATATAGATAGATAACATTTATTTTGCATATATAAAAATAAACCTCTCACTGTGGTCAGAAGGTCGCAAACATGAATGCAGTCTGTGTTACTCACAGTTTTGGATACTAGGGTTGTCTCCTTTTAGGGAACATATAACATTTTTTGGTGATTTTCTTTTTATTTTTGAATTCTTAAATAATAAAATTCAAAAAGCAGGAGGAAAAAAAATCCTGGAACAGGCGGTTCCTTTGTCATCTACTTCTCAATGGTTCCAATTCAGCAAAGTGACAATAAACCAATGTGTGAGGCTGATAATGCAACAGTTATCTGTTCCTTTCTGTTCCTCTTAGAGACACTTGCTGATTAGGCAAAAATGTTACTATTTTTCCCTTCTCTTCTGTTTTTAGTATTTAGTTGAGATGAGGATCATTTAGCCCCTAAATAACAGCTTTTTGGGATGTTCATATGCAGGCTGAATTTAATTGAGGCTAAGGGCATGCCATTCTCATAGTCTGGCAAGGAGTTACTCAATCATTTCTAATTGCCAGCTCCAAAAGAAGTTTCCTGCTTAAGTGACCAGTAGCACCAGCAGCAAAGCTGGTGCTCACATTTTGAAAACTGGACTTCAGATGTCAGAGCAGTATAACAACAACTGGGCCTCTGAAGAAAGGCCTAAGCATTTGTTGCATATCCTTGAGCATGCTTTAACTATAGGTCTTCTGTACAATTGGGTCCTTAAAGTTCTTCAAAATGGCATTTCTCAGCAGTGGAAGAGGGCTGGGATTCTGTCAACATGATAAGAAACCAATTGAACATCCAGTGTTACATTCTTATTTCTCTGCAATATTTTAAAGACCTTTTTCAGGATTGTTTTTCCTCTTTCCTGTAGCTTCTGCAAAGGAAGAACGCTTCACTCGTTTGTAAGGGACCCCAAGATATCCCTGGATATTAACAAAACCAGGCAGATAGCACAGGAGATCATTAAGGTAAGGGTACGTTATGCCAGTGCAGACATCCACTTTCTGGGCAGTGCCTCAGCAAGAGCTTAGAGGCTGCACAGCTGGAGAGGCTCTGTAAGTCTCAATAGCTCGACAGGGTGTTGCAGCAGGAGATGCTCAAAGTTGGCTGAAAAAAAGTGCTAATTTAGTGGGCAATAAGCTAAGGGCCTGTAAGGAGAGAAACAGACCTTTTGCTTGTCAGTAAGGGGTTGGGGGGAACAATTTAGATAAAGGGAACAATGAAGAAAGGTATGCAGGACAGGTTTCCTTCCTGGTCTCTTCTCTTTATTAGTAACTGCAGCTAAGTTAATGCATTCTGAAGTAGATGGCATTTTCTCCCAGATTTGCACAGTGTTTTCTGTGCTTGCTTTCAATATTTCTCAACTGAAGAAGCATTTCTAACGTCGCTGTTTTCTTTTCTGGCAGAAATATCCTGTGAATTTAGTGAGCAAACTTGTGTCAGTTGTTCCTTGTTCTTACACATACAGACTTCTTCAGAATTGTGAAGTCCACAGCCACTTAATGCTTCAACTAAGAGTACACTTCCAGCAGCCCTACTAATGCACAGGATGAAAAGCAATTCAGAGGTTGAGCACTAAACTGAGATCTGCTCCCTTGCAGACTTCCCATGCACCCTTCCTGCATAAGTCAGACAGCTGCTGTGTCCCCACTTACTATTACTTATTTATGCTGGAATAATGAGAGTAAATGTGTATTAGAAAGCAAAGCATGGCCAGAGTTAGAGGCTTGTAAATAATAAAAAAAAGTTTACATCTCTGCATATATTTCCCAGGGCATGGGGTATCTTCACGCAAAGGGGATTGTACATAAGGATCTGAAATCCAAGAATGTTTTCTATGACAATGGGAAAGTTGTGATCACTGACTTTGGATTATTTGGAATTTCGGGTGTGGTTCAGGAAGGAAGGTAAGTGCTTGGTCCAATTCTAGAGTGATAAATAATGATCAAATAGGGAAACATTTTGATATGTTACACAGTGCAAGGGAGGAGTGTCGATTGCTTTAGTACATACACACATTTTTGGAATACACACTTTTGCTTTGTTTTCTTTTTTTTTTTAGCAGAGTTCTTTCTACAGTTCCCTTAGCACAGAGCTAGGAAGTTATGTATGGAGTAAGACCCAGAACACAGAATAAAGAAAACCTTACGCCCAAGAATGAGCTGGAGAGTCAGGCTAACACAAGCATATTTTTTAATATGGCAAGAAAATTAAAAAGGAAATGTCAGCGAAAACATTTGAGTAAATAAAGTCAAGGCATTAGGTGAAGCACAGATACAGTCCATATGCTGCTTCTTGGTTGAAGCAGTAGTGTTTCAGTACTACTTCTTTCTTTTGAACTCAGGAGGGAGAATGAATTGAAGCTGCCTCACGACTGGTTATGCTACCTGGCCCCTGAGATTGTTCGTGAGATGGCCCCTGGGAAAGATGAAGATAAGCTGCCTTTCTCCAAAGCTGCAGATATCTATGCCTTTGGGTAAGAGAGGAACACCTGAGAGTACCATGGGAGCTTGCAAATGAGATTTGTTACAGGCCTGAGCCTTGTGACTCAGTGGTCCTCTTCTCACAGACTCGCATTTTTCTCACCTACTACAAAAGTCATGGGCAAGAGGTGTGTGGGGTGGGAGGGATTTGCTGCACAGCCTTATACGTCTTCCAGAGCTTATCTGAAGAAATTGGAACAGTGTCAGGGTTTTGTATCTTTCTCTTAAGAGCAGGCAAAGGCTTGATTTGTCTGTTGATGTTGCAGGACTGTGTGGTATGAGCTCCAAGCAAGAGAATGGCCTTTCAAGAACCAGCCTGCAGAGGCGCTCATCTGGCAGATTGGAAGTGGCGAAGGAGTGAAACAAGTCCTTGCAACTGTTAGTTTGGGGAAAGAAGTCAACGTAAGTACCTCAGTTGCAGGAATCCTTCCATATAGCTATTTATCAGGAAAAGAGGGAGCTGCTTAAAGAGGAGATTTATTATCTTGTTGTAACTCTAAAGATAAAGGCCAGGAGAGAGAACAGATTAGAATGGGACACCAGGTTAGATACTAAGCCTCTGCCCATTACTGTCATATAGAAGTGGACATCCACCGGTACGCAGGATACTGTTTGATTATAAGAATGTCCGAGACTTCTGTTAAACAGTATCTCTGGCACAAATCACTCAATCTGGCACAAGCAGCTCAATCAGCTGCTTGGTCTGCACAGTTGACCTGTGAACTAAGTGGAGATAATGAGCTGCAAATATCCTTTGCAGGAAATTCTCTCAGCGTGCTGGTCATTTGATCTCAGTGAGAGACCTAGCTTCACTGTCCTCATGGATATGCTTGAAAAACTGCCAAAATTGAATCGTCGGCTCTCCCACCCAGGGCATTTCTGGAAGTCTGCTGAGTGAGTATTTAGTGCTATTTATGCCACTGAGAATTTTAATATTTATGCCACTCAGAATTTGCTAACTGATCATTTCTGTGCTTTATTTTGCCTTCTTGGGGGCTGTCAGACCTCTGATGGGAGAGTAACAGCATGCTGTTCTGCTTTTCTAGTTACTAGGAAATTATGCAATTAAGCTTGTGTGCTTCAGACAGTTAATTTCCTACTTTAACATATTCACCTCCCTCCTTCAGTAGATGACTTATCCAGCTTTATGTTTGGTTCCAGAGAGTATCTACCAACAGTATTGGAAAGGGCCCACAATGACCCCAAAGTGGTTAGAATTTCCCCTATAATGGCTGGGACTGAGGGAGGGGAGG